CACCATTTAATTTTCGTTTGGATTTGGATCTGAATTCAGAAGTGCTTATTTGGGTCATTTTTGCTTTATTTTGCTTGATCTTCATTTCTACAACAAGGAAGCTCTTGGATCTTGAAGAATCTCTGAATTTCTTGCTTGGATCTACTCATTTCAAGTGAATCAACACTCACCAAAGCAAATCTCCGCTTTGTAGGTTGTCAATTCTAGATCTAATTCTGCTTTGAGCTTATTTGCATAATCACAATGTAGATCTATGGTTTTTGATGCTTTTTGATCCATTTTGTTGATTTTTATTTTTAATCTTTGTGAGATCATTGCTTGTTTGAGTTGGATTGATGTTGGCCACTGATTTTTGGTGTTAAATTCGTGCATAATTGATTACATGATCATTTGGATGATTGAACATTGAATTAATTGTTGAAAGTGCTTTTGGATTGTTGTTTTCTGCTTCTGGTGCAGTGTTAACCGATTAACCAGATACAGTGCAAACTGGTTAACCGGTTAACCAGTGCGTTTTCCAAATATTTTTAAGTGGTTAACCGGTTAACCAATAGTGTTAACCGATTAACGCTGAACCAGAATGCAACTTTTGTTTGTTTTCAAGCTTGTTTTGATTTCTTCTCACCTTGAATCTTCATGGATTGATGTGATGCATTTATGTGAATTATTTTGACATGTTTCCTCATTCTTGGATGTATACTTCGCGTCATAAATCATCTTTGAATCATGTGTCTCCACTTGTTCTAAGTGTTGAGTTTGTGTTTGAACTTTGGTTCATCACTTGTACATGATCATGATTGTGATTCCTTCTTGTTTTGACCTTGATTTGGATCTTTCCATTTGTGATTCACTTCTGCCCCATGTGATTTGACACTTGTTCATGATGATTTGGTTCTTGTGTTTGCACTTTGAGTTTGTCATGAACATTGGTGATTGTTTTGCATTGATCATTTGCATTGCTTTGCTTGATCTTTAAGAATTGTATGGTTGAGATGTGCTTGTGGTGGTTGTTGCCCCACACTTTGTCCTCCCTCTTTTCTTTGTGTGTGCATCTTAGGATAGCACTTTTGCTTTGATGATTGATGGTTGATGGTTGTAAGAGCTTGCTTCTCCCATTTCATCTCATCCTTCTTGTTGCATCTTTTGTGTTTGCATCTCTTGTTGCGTTGACTTGTTTAAGTCATTTTCATATCATTTTCTTTTCATATGTGTTTGAATTACTAAGTGTTTACTTGGTCTTTTTCCATGATCCCTTAGGATTCCTAGTCCCTCTATTTAAGATGGGAGTAGGAGAGACATTAGGTGTTCAATCCTTTTGCATGATAACATTAGGATAGATTTTCCCCTTTCAATCCCAACTTTAGGAGCACTTTGCATTATAACATTAGGGTTAATTAGTTTCCCCTTAGAGTTTGTGTCTTCTCTTCTCATCTCATAACTTCATAAGACACTTAATAAAGGATAATAAATTTTGTACGTTACGAGCCTTAAGTACTTGAGGAATGATAGTTGGAGGCCTCCTCTCACACTGTCTAGAGTGTTTAGCGTATGCCCTTTGGGCGATATGCGACGCATTCGCTCTCAAGTCGTAGTCTTTAATGCAACATGAGTTTCAAACTTAACTCAATTCACTTCTTCTTTAAAAAAAAACAAAACAAAACATCAAACCTTTTTATCCTTTGGGATTGTTTGAAAATCATTTTCAAAAAGAGTGTGTTAAGTCTTGGTTCTACCGCAAACAGGCATCGTCCCTAACTGCTAGAACGGAGATTTAACCCTACTCATTAAAACACTTGCACCAATCTGTGGTCATGTTAGCCCGAACTACGTTTTCTCTGATTTCTCGTATCAGACGAGGATACGTAGGCACAAGACGACGATGTCTTGGCAAGCAACCTTCCCCACCTTCACGCGTAGTTTTCCGAACTACGTTGAGTCTGACTTTCCCATTGCACGAGGGAATACGTAGGCATAGAGCGGCGATGCTCTATCGAGTCTCTTTTCTTTTCTTTTGTCCCTGTGAGCCAGACTTTTGATAGATTAACACCCTTTTAGATAAACAACAAGCGTGGATCTCGTTGAGTACAACAGACGTGAGGGGTGATCATACCTTCCCCTTGCGTAATTGACTCCTGAACCCAAGATTTGGTTGCGATGACCTGTCTTTTCCCTTTTCGTAGGATTTCTCTGAACGTTTCCTTTCCCTCTCTTTGGGATAAATAACGAACGGTGGCGACTCTTCTGTCTTTACCGGCCCTCTTCGCAGCGATGCGACAACAAGGTATGTAACTTTGTGGCTGTTGTTTTACAAAATAAGCCAAAAGGAAATGATGAGGCTATCATTGATAAACATTGGTATCTTTCCATGCAAGAGAAATTAAATCAATTTAAACAAAACAATATTTTGGAACTTGTTCCCAAAGCTTCATCTAATCAAGTGACCGGTACCCATTGGATCTTTTGCAATAAGTTGCACGAAGATGGCAACATTTTAAGAAAAAAAACCATAATTGTTGTGAAGAGATGAAATCAACAGAAAGTCATAGATTTATATGAAACCTCTGCTCCTGTAGCTCAATTTGAGTCTATAAGGATGTTATTATCTTTTTCATGCATCTTGGATTCAAACTATTTCAAATGGATGTAAAGAGAGCATTCTTAAAGGGTTACATCCAGGAGGAAGTGTTTGTTGATCAACCTCCAGGTTTTATCAACTCAACTTTCCCTGAACATGTCTTCAAACTTCAGAAAGCTATATACAATATGAAATAAGCTCCTAGAGCTTGGTACGGAGGTCTATGCAAGATCTTGCTTGAAAACAAGTTTTAAAGAGGACAAGTTGATAAAACACTTTTTAACAAGAAAACTGAGCATGACATTTTACTAGTAAACTTTATATTGATGATATGTCTTTGGTGCTGCTAATAAATCCTTATGAAAGGAATATTTTGAAATGATGTCAAACGAATTCTAAATGTCGATGTTGTACTTGATTTAGTGCTACTAACTAATCCTTGTGCAAGGACTTTTCTAAAATGATGTATTCTTAATATCATGTTTATTGTGTATCTGTATGCTCATTTTCAAGCATCCCCGAAGAAATCACATCTCAATTCTGTCAAATGCATCTTGAGGTATCTCTGTCACACCATAAATGGGTTTATGGTACTCCAAGAGAGCATGTTGTGACTTAGTTGGGTACACCGACTATGACTTTTGGATGTAAATTGGATAGGAAAAGTACCAATGGTACATGTCACTTACTTGGAATCTCGCTTGTTTCCTCAATTAGCAAGAAACAAGCAATTGTCGTGTTATCCACAATTTAGGAATAATACATTATTGCGGGTAGTTTTTGCGCACATATTATCTAGATTACACAAAAATTCAATGATTGCAGTATTAATCTTGCAGTATTAATGATTGGTGTATCTAACGAAGGAACTTGAAAGCTTCAGAGTTCTGAAAGAGAGGAAATGTGAAATTTCTCTTGGTCATGTATATATAAGTGACCACATTCTTATGAAAGTAGGAGAGTAACTCCTAAGATACTAAGGAAACTCGCATACATATCTAAAACTTTTTTAAGGCCTATCTTATTTTGTTAAAAACACCTAAAAATTATCTTAAAGCCTAGTTAACTGATTAAGGGATCAATTGGAACACTTTTCACAACTAAATATTCGATTAGCCTTAATCATCTAATTGATTGTTTTCACATTGTTGAGTCTAAAATTGATTGGGACAATCTCCCAATGATTGGTAACAACTAAATATCAAAACCTTCTATTTGTAACTTGAACAATGAATTATAGAAGTGCAATAATTGATTGTCCTAATTGATTATTCCATTAATTCGGGCCATAGATTGATTCCTTCTTTAGCCTCATTTTCTCCTTATATAAAAGATGTCTCCTTTTTCGAAGTCAGACCAAAATTTAGAGCTATTATTAAGATTCTCAAGAATATCTCTTAGAACAGGAGTAAGTCAACATTCAAATGAACCTACATAAATTTAGGTGTCATATCTCTTAACTTTATATCTTTAATTTATGTCATTTACTTAATTGTTTTATTTCTTTCCACTGCTTTTCTCTCTGCCTTTTCAATAATAATAAAAAGTGTTGCTTTAAGTAAAACAACTTTAAATTAATCACAAATTGCAAGACCATTGAGCATCTTCCATGAGAATCACAAAATGGAATTGTAGATTTTGTTCTTACTCTAGCATGTGAATAAACCGAAACTTCATTAGCTGCCACTCTGGTCACTGTCTTCAATGTTTAAACTTCCTTGGAACAAAGAGTACATCATATTTCCAAGTAACTGACAAATATATTAAAATCTCAACATCAGAAGATGCTTCTGATCTAGAGACAGAGAGGCACATTTTACCCTTATGGACATCCATGCACTACTAAACAATTGGTGGATTGGATATAACCCACCTTATTTTATTTCACAATCTAAACAAAATTTAAGACATAATAACGTCCAGACTGTAAATGTATTACTACATTAATAATTAATCTCTTAAAGTTATACGACAGTTGACACATGCTCCTGAATTGGAATGTTTTGGCTAATGGAAAAAGTTACATGCATAAATGATAAACTAAATCCTATTAAATTTGTGTGAGAAAGAGACTTGTAAGAAATGTTGGAAAGCATAACTTTATTCATTGAATAATTTATTGATGATTGATTGGAATGTATGATCCCTAAACAGAAATGTTTAAAACAACAATAAAAACATTGAAAACAATGACATCTAAACAAGCCCCGAGTCCCCCCATTGGGCAGCAGCCATTTATACATATATGTATAGTTTATCTTTATCTTTCTATCTATATCTACAGATCTAACTTTAGATCCACAATACATTGATACGATATAATACTAACTGTAATAACTTAAATTTTTGGCTGGCTTAATAAAGCTATTCTACAACTCTTTGATGTCATTTGTCTTCGAATGGACACCGGCTGACACTGCAAAAGTCATTCTTCTATCTGGTTCTGTTCATTCACATTTCCTATAAACCTCTCAACACATTTCTTATTGACATCAAAGATAAATGCCAAGCCCCAAATCTGCATGTAAGCCATTTGTTTACTATAAATTATCACGCACTGAGGTAAAAAGAACAACATTGCCGCACTACTGTTTACTTAAGAATTGAAAAGGAAATGCAGTTACCTCGATCAAACTACCAGCACTCAGACCCCGCATCTGTCCTTTTGGAACTTCTTTGCCATTCAAGTATAAAGTCCTCTTGCCAAGGTTTTTGATGATGAAAGAACCATTTGCGTCCATCTTTATTGAAGCCTGTAGATATTTAGTAGTTCAAATTTCATTCTAATATGAATTCAGCAAAAGAAACATAAAAGAAAATGTAGTTAAAATGTCTGGATTTTCACTATGAACAAGATATTCTTTTGGTCCTTGTTTTGTGTCGCGCTCATGCATAATGAAACATCAAAATAACACCTTTAGGTTCAATCACCATAACCACTCACAAGAACACCATATTCCAAATAAGTAAATAAAAGCTTTTTAAAAAATTTTCATCTGATATGCCCTAGAAGTATGTATACCAACATTGTAGTAGTGTTCTATTACTACTTACTAGAACGACAGCGGTCATTTCATGCATTACTTTTAAACAATAATACCAAATCCTTTCCCCTACCTCCCTAAAAACTAAAAAATGTATTAACTTTAAAGGAAATTAAACTCATCCGCAAAATCAATATATATGAACTTAAAGGGGCTCCCAGTTCATCAGTAACATTAACCATGTAAGGAAGGAATTGTAGACACAGTTTCTAAGATATCTTACTTGTCTTCTAGATATCTTGTGAGCATCTTTCGCTGCTCTAGCCAAGTCAATATCAACATCTGTGTCAGCTGTTGATCTGCCAATTATCACCTGCGAAATAGAAAGAGATTGTAAAAATATAAGGAAAAATATTTAAACTGAAAACAAACACAACAAACTTATGGAGTAACACAGATTAGGCTAACACCAAAATCAAAATTTTAAATGTAGAGTTAGGCACACACAAAGGACATTGTTATAATACAGTTCACCCTAATACAGGTCGATCTTATTTCAGAACTGCAAATACCACTGCAGACTACGTTTCATCAAAATTTAAATACAAATATAACAGATATAGATATAAAAGATATGCAAAGATCAGAAAAGTAAGATCATCAACAAGCATTGACCCTCTTAGATATAAAAATCTAGTAGACATCGCAAAACAAATGAAAGATAGTCTATTTAAGTTAGTTTCCCAATTGTCAAAGCTAGAGCACTAATAGTAACGCAATGGTACTAGACCAATACTATGCAAGACAACAAATCATGGTATGGAAATAATGACAACGTGCAAACAAAAGTTCCTGCCCATATGGGTAGAACAATATGGGTAAAAGTTCCTGCCCGTATTTTAAAGGAAAATAAAAGCTCCAAATTCATAAATGCACCTCGGATTTTTCGATATATTTCTTCAGAGTGCGCCCATAAAACACTGCAAGTGCACCTCGAGATGCAATAGCTCTTTGCACAAAAGACTGGGCACATTGCTCCAGTCTCATGATGGTCTTCTTAGTTTCATCACTCTGATACCTTATCACTATAATACAACAAAAAAATATTAGTAGAGAAATAACCATATTACTATAACACCTAGAAATGAATAAAGTCAATGATGAACAATATTATTAGTATTTTAGCCGTAACTTTTCGTAAACCTCTATGAAGGCTGACCAGCATATTATTAATAAAAGGAGTGTTCATTTGATTATAAGAAAATTCACAGGAACAAAGAAAAATCACAACCAAACAATGAATGTTCATTTAAAAATTCAAATCTTTAAATCCAACTTTTTAACAACCTTTGAAGTAAATTTAAAAATCCTGTCCAGAGGGTGATCTACACCACAACAGTGAGGTTGCCTTTCTTATGACAAGGTGGCTATAGGTTCTGGAGACAGAACCAAACCATCCATTTCTGGAAACAGAATTAAACCATCCACTTACATGGTAAGTTGTGTAGAATTGGTGTTCCTAGATCCCACATGACGACAACTTGTGCATGGGTTGCACTTTTAAAAATGAAGAACCTTAAATAGAACTGTGATGATTAAATTGTGTATCTAGTGTCAGCTGATTTACCTTCGGTGCTTGCATTTGTATCTTGATCAGTCGGACCTAAATCCATTTCAAGAATCTGAGCAAGCAACATCAAGAATATGAGTGATAAACAAACACAATTAAATATGGGGCATTATTACTATTCAATACAACATATAATACTTACCATTCCTTCAGCATCAGAATAGTAAGGAACTTCATGCTCCTCATCGCTATCACTATCATAATCATCATCAGCATTGCCTTTTACCTGATCAATGCATGTCAATTTTTCTTCTTTCTCAGGTAAAGACTTATCCTCCTCTTCCATTGGATGTGAATTAACAGGTGAAGGCAGAGCAATAACTACCTGTAAATAACATGTAACTTCAATAATGTTTTCTTAATAAAAAGTGTAATCATAAACGAGTTTCCTAAAGATTTTTTTTTTCAATTATGGAGTATCCAGCAATTGACCCATCTAACCTCTGGTGCCGGATGTCCATATGAGGCATGCTTCATAGTTGCATGAACTAATCTGCTTTGACTTGGGTTGATGTTGACAGTGGCATTGTTACTCTGCCTAGAAACTTTGGAATTTGAGTTCTTTGCAAGATTTTCAATTTTTAGTACAGCGGCAACTGAATTTTCCTTGCTTGGATTTATATTAGGAACTAATCCTGGTCGAAATGACTGAGAAGCTGCAAAAGAGCTTGAAGAGGTGTCTTTTCTCTTCAACCCTTCATTTGGTTCCCTTTTTGTTAGATTAATAATAGAGGAATCCGGATACCCCACCTCTTTAACAATCGATATGGGTTTCAGAATCATAGAATTAGGAACTACTACGGTGGATATGTTTACAGTCGGAACTACTGTAGAAGTTATGTTATCAGAATTAGGAACTACATCAAATACATTTGCACGGTTAGTGTCATCTGACGGGATAATAGGGTCCTCAGTGTTCAATGAACATAACCTAAATTCATTTGCAGGCTTAGGGTCAGATTTTTGCACCGCACCAGATGACTGGACTTCCTTTTCACAATCAGAAGCAAAACCCACATCACTGTGACTGCTGCCTGACGAGTTGGCAACAACATCTAACACAGCAGACGGACCATTTGCCATAGCAAGTTGTGTTTCTTCAGCCAACTTCTGAGACTCACCAACACCAGACATATCATCACCTTGAATGTCACAAGGAGAAGGCAACAGATTTGAATCAACATTAACAACAGACTGCTTATCCACTTCAGTCTCATCTTTCTCACCTATATTCATAAACATAAGTTTGTCTCCATTCGGAGAGTTCAAGAGTGCATCAGAAACACGGGGAATCATCTCTTTTGACTCAGAAACTCCATTTTCCTTTTCAAGACTAACATGAACCGGCATGTTAGGTGCATGCACATCCTCAATTGTCTTCCGAATTGGATCTTCACTCATTGAATGAGATGACCCTGCCCTAGCTCCCACTAACCCCAATTGATTCCCATCCTTAACTAAACTATTGACAAGCAAATTTAAACTAGCATTATTAATATTACCAGACCCACCAATTTCATCTTCATTGGTGTTTTTTTCAATACACATCTCATCATGTAAAGCCATATCAAAAGAATTAAAAAAAACCTCCGTGCGAAGTCTCTTCCGCATGGCATTATATACCTTGCGAATGGTCTGATTCTTCCTCTTCGGAGCAGCAACTTCCGCAGAACCCGCAACTTCCTTTGCTGCTTTACCATTAGACTTGGCAAGCTCCAAATTCTTCATGGCAACAGAAGCTTCATCAGAAACATCAGAATCATAGAGAACAGAATGCCAGCGTTCCCTCAACTCCCTAAGTGAATACCACCGGGAGAAGGAAACAACTCCTTTTGCCAGCGATTCCAGTGAAGCTCCAGTCTAAGCAAAACAATTCAGCATAAATGAGGTCATCAAACACGAAACGAACAACAAACCATAGTCTAGGGTTTCAATTCCACCTCCAGGAGAGGGAATTTCAAGGAAATTCACGAAATTAAATTACGGAAAATTACGGAAAAGGAGTGAGAGTATATAGAGACGAAGATTATACCTCAATGGCGTTCTTGAGTAGAAAATCGTCATCTGAAGTCCAAGGAGGGAGAGGCGGAACCGAATCCATGAGAGAGAGTGAAAAAGATCTGAGAATTGGGGAATTGAGTTGTGAGTGATGATGATATATAAACTGAAAGGGTGATGAAAATGGAAGTTAGTGAAAAGTAGAAGAGCTCGCTAACGTGCGCTGGAACGTGAGAGTTGCGGTTATTAGAGTAACCCCCAAACCTCGTGAGTGTCGTCACTCTGAGTTAATGGGATATTCGATGAAATGATTCTTGCTACTGCATCATTCAGGAGGGGTGGAGTGAAGGTAGCAGTTTCATTTCTTTCTCTTGCGACTAATCAGATTTTACAGTGCTTTTCTTTTATACCAGAAAAATATAATTTTTTTTATTTCTTTTTTTTATTTTGACTGACATATAATAGCATAAATTTTAGAACCTTCTAGAATAAAATAAAATAAAAATTAAAACAGAAAATGTTTTTGATAAAAAACTAGGTCCAAATACATTTGACTAACATAGAATATTATTTATTATTATTATTATATATAATACTAAATAAATTAGTATTATATTATGTTTTAAAAAGAAAAATCAAATTCTTGTAAGATTTTTCAAAAAAAAATAATTTAATTTTAGGATAGTTATTATTATTTTCTTCAATGTGAAGTTAAATTTTTTATTATAATTTTTACTATTATTTATTGCTATCGTTGATTTTTCTTTTTTTTTTTAAGTTTTCTCCATTAAAAATAATTTTATTGGAGAAAATGTAAAATTTATAATTTTTTTTAATAGTTTCAATTCAAATCTTATTGATTAAGTTTTCTTAATTATTAAATTATTGTTACTCCACAATATGTAAGCTTTAATTTTTTTTTAATATATCATTATTTCATATATATATATATATATATATATATATATATATATATATATATATATATATATATATATATATATATATATATATATATATATATATATATATATATATATATATATATATATATATATATATATATATATATATATATATATATATATATATATATATATATATATATATATATATATATATATATATATATATGAGTAAAATTTTTTTAATTTATTTTAAATCATAACCTTTGAATCGAATCTAATGGTTAAATTAGTCTTTTACTTAATTCACCATTAGATTAGTTTTTTTAAGTTAAAAAATCTTACTTTTGGAGTAAGTTTTTTTAAGTTACTCTACATCATAACCTTTAATTGAATCTAATCTAGTGATTAAATTAACATTTTTACTTATAACCATTCGATTAAATTTAGTTTAATAGTTATGATTATGGAGTAAGTGAATCCTCACTTTATATATATATATATATATATATATATATATATATATATATATATATATATATATATATATATATATATATATATATATATATATATATATATATATATATATATATATATATATATATATATATATATATATATATATATATATATATATATATATATATATATATATATATATATATATATATATATATATATATATATATATATATATATATATATATATATATATATATATATATATATATATATCAAATAAAAAAAATGGTATAAATCATTATTTCATAATAATGTATTGTTTCAGTTTGCACCTAATTTAGTCTTCGATGGCAACGCATTGAAAATTGTAAACTCTTCCATTAATTCACAAATTATTATAAGTATCTTTTGATACAACAAATAATTGCAAGACAAAGTGAAAACTTAAAGACAATTGCTAAGCAACACAAATCTAATAAATTCATCTTTGGGAGCAAAACCTTTGAGAACGTGGATGAACTTATTTTCATAAATTTTACACAACTTGTCATGATAAAACTAGACATTGTTTAGTCGCGTTAATCTAGGTTAGATTGAAAACTGTGTAAGGACATCAAATGTTGGAGTGCGGGTTCGAAGACATCTCATTTATTCACCTTTAAAAAGATGAATTTCAGCCGCTAGGCTACTTTACAAAAAAATAGACATTTTCTCCATCCAGATAGTACCTAATTTGATTCATCGCTTGATCATGAAACAACTTTGGCGCTTCACGAAGATCAAAATTGGTAGAAATAATACCATTTCTCTCAAGAATAGTCGAGACCAGAGAAGTGTAAAAGAGAGAGCGACTAAAGTTACCCTTGCAGATCATGATTTGATCAATTATGTAATTTACCCAATCGACGTTGGTCTTCATGAGTAAAATCCACATCAAAAATAGGTTGATGTCATTAGCATTTGCCTAATTACCAGTCTTCATATAAAGGATTTTCATAGTAATCTTATGAATCATGTGCATTTCACTTTTCATCTGACTAATGTGAAAATTCATTGAGTCTAAATGTCCTTTAACCACAATCTTCGAGATCGACTCAACAAAACAAAATTTAATGATACTCAAATGCATATAGTTTTAAGGATCAATTACCTCACCCTTGTTTTCTAGCCCAAGTAGAGACATGAAATATGCATTAGTAAATGTTGACAATTTACCTCTGAAATGGAACTCCACTCCATTACTTCAAGTTTCCTTCTTGATGTGGAAGTAAAACACCCTCGCATGATGACGATTATAACACTTGATATGACCCAAAACTTTTTGAAGTTGATACTTTTCAAACACAACCATAAAATTTATGAATAGAGTAGTTTCATATTGCTTAGTGACGTAATACTTTTGACCATTTTCTTTATTAAGAAATAGGTGAAGTAACTTTATGCAACATTGAAATTCTGGTATGCAGATCTCAGATGTCTTAAGAGATATCAAGACACTTGATCTATGCTTTAAACACAAATACAAAAAAGAGCGCAATAAAAATTGCAGAAAATAAATGAACACACAATAATTGTTAACCCAGTTCGATGTACAACAACACCTACGTCTGGGGGCTACCAAGCCAGGAATGAATCTACTAGATAATATTAATTTTAAGTTAAACAACCTCTGGTTTACAACTTATAACTTAATCACTACCCATGCTTAATTTCTACCTAAGACTTTCCAAGGTATGAGACCCTTCTCAATTCCCTTTCAATCACAACAGTGACATAAATTACAACTCAATGCAAACAGTCCAACTTTAGTATCAACACGATACAAGAAAGGCTCACAAATACACAAACCCTAAAACTCACTAATAAATAATGTATTTTCCACACTTTAATTAGGTTAAATCCATCATATTTATAACCATAAACTAGACTAGATTTGAGCTTTAAAAACGCAGCAATTCTGTTACATAAAATATGCAACTTATTCTCCTCAAGAATAGTTTCTTCAATCCAAAGTTTCCTAAAATATCTCCACACTTAGAAAATGAAATCTTCAAATTCAAACAAAATCTCTGATTTCTCAATCTTGAACGCCACCTAGGATAAACAAATATTTCCACAATATTATGAAATCTGGAAATAAATTAGCAGTATCAAAACTGCAAAGTAACAAATAAAGATGTCGAATCATCATGATAAGATATCTTGTTCTTCAGTTTGTTTTGCATGTTAGGATGTCTTGTCCAGCATCTTGTTGTCAAGTTAGTTTTACCAAAATTAATGTCAACCTCAAAAGCTTGAACTTATCAAACACCACTGGTAAATTCTGAAAAGAAGAATAAGAGACGGGTGGAGGAATGGATGCATGAGGATTAAAAATAACAACTCTAACCTTTGTCTTAAAAGGTTCTCCTTTTTCCTTTTGCTTTGGAAAAACTAATCTCTTTATCTTAGTTTTGATGGAGAGTCAGAATTGGGTCTTTTACCCTTATGAGATTCAAAACTAATTCTATTATTCATTACGTAAAGAGCACAAAGTTAAGATTTAAAGTGAAGCTTGATGATTTTTTGGATCATATTAATAATGGAGCTTGATGAATGTGGAAATGTGTATTTAGAGAAGTTTGAGGGTGTATAGAAATGATATGTTTGCAAATGAGATGAGAATGAGAAAAGTGAAGTTTAAATATGAGAGATTTGGTGATTGAGATTAGAAGATGGAAAGTTTTAATGGTTGAGATTGAAAATGAAGTTTGATTCAAGTCAGGTTTGGGCATGGTTCAAATCAAAATAGAAAAAACACTTTATTTGAGTCAAGCTGATTTTGATTCGAGTCATGAGTTTGAAATTTTTGTAACAATCGCATTTGATACAAGTCTAAGGGGTATGTGATTCGAGTCACATATCCCAAACTAAAATGTTTTTTTAAAAGGTTTTCTTTGACTCGATTCAAGTACCCTTGTGACTCAAATCATAACCCATACCAATTTCTTGATTTGAGTCATGGCATTCTCTGACTTGAATTTCCCAACACATAATTTTGAAAAATAATTTTTTTAATGAAAATTCTTAAATGCTAAATAAAATTTTCAAGAAATGTATGATTTTTTAGTGAAAATTAAAAATCTTAATGCGCATGAAAATGATACAAATAAAATTTAATGCAGATGAAAAATATTTTGATGAATGATCATGATGTAATGAGAAATGCTATGCACATATAACATAATTAAATGATCACACATGAACAACATATTAGACAAAATTCATAATTAATATAAATCAAACATGACAATAAGAAGATTAAGAAATTGGAACTAACATATATGATTGTTTACTGTAAAATTTGGTAAACAACCGCTAGTTTCTTATTGAATGTTACTTACAGGATCAACTAGAGAATCCTAGGACATAGTGTTAAAAACTTTTGGTCATAGTTTTGTGGAAATGTGAAGGATGTTGACTTGGTCGAAATAGTTGAGAAAAGAAATATGAAACGTAATTTTGACAGTGTTAAAAAAGCTAAAAGTTTGTAAAACAACAATAAAGTAACAATGCATTTAAAAGAAAGATGAAAGTAAATTTGCCAAGAAAATAAACTAAAATGAGAAAATTTTGCATTTAAATAAAAATGGTATTTCAAGATTCATATATTTTCTTAGTGAAAACTCATTTCTCTAACGCTAGTACTTTGAGTATTTGTGAGATTTTATAGTGAAATCAAATGAACATACCG